TTCCTGCTCTCCCTGACTAAAATAGTAGGTGGTTTATGCTGTTGATGCTAAGCTGTCTGAACTGTGTGTGCTCGGACAGCAAGGATGTAAACGCAGGGTTCGGAGGGGATCCGAGCCGCGAGCAGAGCATCCGAGCCGCGAGCAGAGCCAGCCCTGCTGCTGGGCTCTGTAGGCACCGCAGCTGCTCAGCATCCCTGAGGTTTTGTCATGGACTCGGGCAGTGAAGGTACGGAGAACGTGTGGCTGCGTACCAGCGTCGGCGCTCAATAAATCCGCTTTTGTGTGCCGCCGTTTAGTCAGATTTTGTCCCTTGTTCTGCAGGACTTTCAGTGGTGGCTTTGCAAGTGTCCTGTGGTACGGTCAAACCTCACATTAAGGCTAAAGAATTGCTTTCAAGGCAAGGGTGATTGCTGTGTTCTCTTGATTCTGGTGTAACTGCAGAGGCTGAGTGGGCAGGGGGCATGGGAGCTGTCACCGAAGGAGTTTGGTCCAGCAAATTGCTCGTCAGGTGACTGGGGCTTGCTGGTTTATGTTCAAGGTGTTAGGCAATCCTCGAGCAGAAGCATTGATACACATGAGGATGGGCAGAAGGAGAGTATCTGGATCCTGTCCTTCAGTTGCTGTATCTATTTCTGTCTGGTTCAAGTTTATGTGCCTTTCAGTAAGTAATGTGCTTTTCCCTAGTCCGAGGATTAAGGAACTATAAATAATTTAAAATGTTTCCATGATTACTTTAGAGATGAACACATTTGTTGAACTCGTAAGAGGGAGCAGTACACAGGTATTTCCCCTTGCTCCTTTTTGAAGCAATCCGCTTGCTGGTCAAAATAGGTTTATACCAAATTTAGCCACATCACGAACAAGGATCTGAGAGGGCAGGAGAAGCTCCACTGCTTGGAGGAGGGTGAGGAGGGATCTCATCAGTGCTTATAAATATCTAAAGGGTGGCTGTCAAGAGGATGGGGCCGGACTCTTCTCAGTGGTGTCCAGGGACAGAACGAGGGACAATGGGCACAAACTGCAATATGGGAGGTTCAACCTAAACATAAGGAAATACTTCTTCATCGTGAGGGTAACGGGGCATTGGAACAGGCTGCCCAGAGAGGTTGTGGAGTCTCTGTGGAGACTGTCCAAACCTGCCTGGATGTGTTCCGGTGTGATGTGCTCTGGGTGATCCTGCTCTGGCAGGGATTGGACTGGGTGATCTCCAGAGGTCCCTTCCAACCCCAGCCGTTCCATGATGCTGTGACAATTCCTTGCACTAAGTCCCAGCGAGCGTGCTGTGTCAGGAGCACCAGCTGGTTTCCAGCTCCTGTTGGTGGCTGCAATTTCTTCTGCTCTTCATTGTGGCAGCCAGCAGCAACTGCTCTTTCATAGTTGGCTACGTAGTACTGTAAATCCGACCTGTATGTGGTGCTTTAAATTACCCTCGGAGTTAATTCTGTGCTCCCTACGCGCTTAATCTAACCTATTGGGCCGTTGTAGCACGTTGGTGCAATACATGAGAAAATCCTGATGTGTGTCATCTTGTAGATGGTCTTCCAGACTATTGGTAATCTGCATGTAATGCTTTGTGTATTCTCTGATTTGGAATGAGAAAATATTTATGAAATCTGGATATTACTGTTCAATTACACTTGCAGGTGGAAGTATTTCATTTATATAAGACTTGTCACTCTATATTTGTAATTCTTAGGTTGCAAGAAGACCCTCCTGTGGGTGTCAGTGGTGCACCATCTGAAAATAATATAATGCAATGGAATGCAGTTATATTTGGGTAAGAGTTTTTGATCACTATAAAATTCTGTATCTAAGGGCGAACTATAACAAGACCTGGGTTTAGTTTTTACAATTAGTCTCTCATTTCATGTACATGAAGTCAGCAAACTTAGAAAAATGGCCAAGCATGCTGCTGCTGTAAAAATCTGTTTTCAAGGGCGATACAGAACGTGTCGGAAAGAAAAAACTTAAGATTTATTCATCTTTTTGTTGATTGAAGCTTGCATGTGGCTTAATAAATAGGTTAGAGCGTGTAGGAGTTGTGTTTACATCCTCACTGTCCGAGCACCACGTGTTCTCAGCCATTAAATCCAGATGTATTAGCAGGGATGGGATTGATTCCCAGCACAACAAGGTGCAGGTTCTGTCTAGGAAGTTACATTACATGTCCTACAGAACAGGAACTGGCTTAGTATCTTTCCACAAAACTGAAGTATGCTGACTAGTAATTTGCTCATTAATTCCAATTAGTCACATAATGCCGTGTGTATTGTTGGGGGTGATGATAAAGGAGCTATCTCAGCGAACAGATTGACTATGGGAAAGTGCCTTAGATATGACAAAGCTCTTGGAGGTTGCCCCTGGATACTTTGCCCAATATTTAAATTATTGCCTATACCTATATCTTGGGGAGGATGAGGAAGAAGGTAGAAATATATTGTGCCTGTTTAGATAGTGATAATTTTTAACTGGAGGTTATTTTTAAAACCTTTCAGGCCAGAAGGGACGCCTTTTGAAGATGGTAAGCCACTAACTTTTATATCCTCTGTCATCCTTATAAATATTGCCAGTATTAACATTGTTCTGCTTTGAAAAATATAATCTATGTTATCCATATATATAATTACGAACAAGCTAAGCAAGCAAGTGAAGGAGTAAGGTCTTGTCGGCTATAGAAATATGTATTTTGATGTAAGCAGTAACTTGTCACAGTGGTTGAGGGTTAGAAAGCTAGGAAGTTTCTCTCTCATGATGTGTTGATACACATATACTAGAGCTTTTGGTGGGGGAAGTTGCTTTGGTGCTGCCAGATGAGCTTCGCTGCAGAGATGTGAGAACACAACACGACAGCACGCTTCTCTGGAGTCACCTCTGTGGCGTGTTTGATTCATCTTTGTTCTGCTAATGAAGATTAGGTGAAAAATGTTGAAATGTTCTGAATATAGAACTTGGTGAGGGGGAGGGAATACCGAATTTGTACATAAACGTGAAAGTTGGTGTGTAATGAACCTCCCTTAGGCATGTGAGGAATAATGAGTTTAATAATTACAGTATTATTGCAGTGATCGGCAGCAGATGGGTTTTTCTCTGTGTTGGGTTGGATGACTTCACAGCAAATTATTCACTGATCCGTGAGAAAAGTTTTTTCAGTGAATCACTGGGGAGCTCCAAAGACTGAGATTGCTGATTCTGAAATTCCAGTGTTTCTTTGCTGGCACCACAAGAGTGCCTTCTGAATGGAACACCTTAAAGTCACTGGAGTCCACGGAACCGGCGTGTTGGGTCACAGCAAAGGCGGAGGGCAGTGGGGTAATTGCTCTTGGATGTAGCTGCCTTTGCCATACTTAGAGTGAGTCTCTGAGGTTCTGCCTACCTGCTGCTGCTCCTGCTCCTGGGCTTGTTTTACTATCACCAAGTAGTAGTTCTGTAGTTCCCTTATCACCTGAAATATAGGAAAAGAAACCAGACGCAGTGTTGCTTGTTTGTGTAATGGTGAAAACAAATGTTGATCGTGGAGCACATAAATTAATTCATGTTGTGTATGTTCCTGAAGGTGTTTTTTGTTACTTACCTGATTGTGTTTATGTTTGTTCGGACAGGTACTTTTAAACTAGTAATAGAATTTTCAGAAGAGTATCCAAATAAGCCTCCGACTGTTAGGTTTTTATCAAAAATGTTCCATCCAAATGGTGAGTAAATAATGTTTATTTAGCCATAATACTCATTAAATGTTACAGTGTGGTCATGTACTCCACAAAGTTGCTGAACGCTTAACAGCTCTCCCATCTCTCTTCATTGTCACCTCCTAAGTAGAGGTCTGGGAGAGCAACTGCTCAATGAAAAATTAAGAATTATGACACACTAAGAAGCAGCTAACTGTCTCTTTCTAATCAATATGTAGCCTCAGCAGCAAAGCTTGGGAGCGTTTTCAGCTGCACTTAGGTTGGATTAAAAAGGCAATTCTGGTTGCAGATTCCTGCCTCCTTCCATTTAACAGCAGCCACGTCGTGGAGTAGGGAACTGATCGAGCCAAATGTTATTTATTTCTATCAGGCAAGATTTTGGCCAAGTCTGTGCCTTCGCTTGCTTTGCTGCCCCCACTAGTACCAGCACAAGGGAGGAGGTATGAACGCACAGTTGTGGAGGAGAAGGCTCACCTGAACTCAGTAATGGGGACAGGATTAGGAGAGGGAGTGCCGTGGCTCCTGCTCTGGCACCTGATAGGCTTTATCCAGTTGTTCTTGCAGGCAGGAACCACAAATGGTGCCTTTTGCCTTTCCAAGCCCCTCTGTAGCGATGAGGGATACAAATTCAGTTTAAGGGTTGAAGCATAAGCCCTTTCCAGTCATTTCTTGAGCCCTCCTTGCCCAGAAGCTGACTTTGGCTTCAGTGCTGTGACTTCTTAGATGGTGCCATCTCGTCATTCATCTGTCACGTCACACGCAGACCAGCGTGCCTCTGGCAGGTTTTTGTAACTTCTTTATTGGCACGAACAAGCTTGAAGACTAGGGTACAGGAGTTTGCGTGGCGAGTCTCAGTTTCATACAGGGCTGTTAAGACTACTGATAGGTATCCAGAGAGAAGCAGGGTTTCAGGCGTACTTTCCAATATTTTCTATTACCTGCTTTGGCGTGTCTCATACGTGAAAACGGAGCGAGGACTCCCACTGTTTGATGCATGATGGCTGCGAGATCCTCGGCTGTGCCGCGAGTTCCACCCTGGCAGCAGATGGCTCTCTGGGAGCCCCTCGACTCTGTGGGCACAGGCCAGGCACAGGAGAGGAGCACGAAACCAAATCTTCCAGTTCCTGTGCTAATGCCATCATCTTTAAACCTTCCTTCATTTCCTCTTAAACGTTCTGTTACTTCCAGTAACAGAAATACAAGGTGTGGAACTACCGAATGTTGTGACACCTAACTGCTGTCCTCTATCCTAAAGTCTTAATTTAAGCAAGGACTGTGTTGCAACAGTAACTCTGGCTGGAACAGAATGTAATGGACAAACTGTGAAATAAATCTGATTAGTTTCTAAAAGAGATTTGTGTTGTATTTACAGTTTATGCGGATGGTAGCATATGTTTAGATATTCTTCAGAATCGCTGGAGTCCAACGTATGATGTCTCATCTATTTTAACTTCAATTCAGGTAACTTGGCATCTATTTTATCAAATGGCTATGTTGTTGTTAGGTATCAAGGGAGACTTCAAGTACTTGTGAGCTAAGCAGTAACTTTTTAGATCAAATAAAGGCTACGATGCTGACCTATGTAATTACTACTGATTTTGAGCTGTGAGGCTGCCATTGTGAATTTTTTAGGAGAGAACAGTTACTGCTTTGGATTCCTTTTCTAAGGAATCTGTCAAGATAGGACGGCAGATGTAGAATCTGCCTGGTGCCTTTATTGTGAAGCTGTGCCTGTGAAGTCCTCAAGGAGACAATACTGTGGAAATTTACTTTATTGGAATAAGTAAAAATGGCCTGGCACAGTAAAAATGTGCATTTTCCTTTCTCCCGTGCGATTGGCTTTATTTCTCTACAGTGAAGTTTTGTGGGAGGCATCTGAAGACCCTCTTCAGTTGTGAATGACAGCAGTAATGTACTTACCTAAGAATCAATTGGCTAGACAGCTAACGGGCACAGATGACCACAGATCTGTTAGGTTTGTGAACCTAGAAGCATAGGCAGTGCTCATGCTTATGCAGTGTGTAATTTGAGGTTCAGTGGTGCAATTGTGGGTGCCCAACCTTGAGATTAACTTTTTTTTTTTAATTGAGCTCTTCTGAGTCATGTCTGCTTCCTGAAACATCTGGTTTGAAAGTTTTAAATTGATCTTTTTTTTTCCCCCTGATTTTTAAGCTGACTTTTTTGTCCCTGATTTTAAAATGTCCTGGCTTGTCTCACATCTTGTTTTTCCCTTTTTACAGTCTCTGCTTGACGAACCTAATCCAAACAGTCCAGCAAACAGTCAGGCGGCACAACTCTATCAGGAGAACAAACGTGAATATGAGAAAAGAGTTTCAGCTATTGTCGAGCAAAGTTGGAACGATTCGTAATGGCTGCTTTGTTACTCTCCATCCTCATAATCATTATGTACAATTTAAATCTTAATAGAAAGGCTACCAGAGATTCCAAGTGCCACAGTTCTAAGAATTTGCATAAAAACTCGTTTGCAGATAAAATTAAGCCCTTCAATCTAGGAAACTTAAAAGCTCGTATATCTTGATTAACGTACTTTTTATTGCATGGTATGAACTAAGTTATTGCTACATAAATTTGTAATATATCCTGTTTGTATTTTTTTTTCCAAGTGTATAATGTTGGTGTGGAGTTTTCATGACAGAATATACACATTTTGTAAATCTGTACTTTTTTCAAATATTGAATGCCTTATTTTTGAATTCTTTAGATTTTTAAATTGGAGGAAAAAAGCACTTAAAGTTTTTATATATAAATATTTCATGTAAAACTGTTAAATACATAACCTTAGTGCAAGACATTCTGCTCTCGCTCTGTATCTCTTTCAAAGGGCTCATTATTAGTACGTTTTTCCTTTCGTTACGTGCCGATGATGCCGTGCACTTGATGTCTGTGTACGCCGTACCACGAGGTAACTCTTCACTGGATGTCTCTGCTTCTGCACCAGAGCTTGACTTGATTCTGTGTGTCCTCAGTTGTATGAGGAAGAGAAGTAGGGGTAGGTGCCAACTTAAAAATGGGAAAACAGATTTAACTATTTTGCTAAAAAGTCCCACTTCAAATGAGTGGCAGAGTGCAGAGAGGACCTGGGATGACCAGGCTTGATGATGGATGTATTCTAATAACTTTTATTTTTCAGGGAGATTGTATTTTACCAAGCTGTAAAATGTTGTCATCTAAACCTGTCCTATATTCACATACTGATACTGTAATATAGTTTTGAATGTTTCTAACAATTAAAGAGGTGTCCTATTAGTTTCCCTTGGGGATAGGAAAAAAGTTGATCGCCAACAGAAGAATCTGCCTGCAGATTTCATGAGTTATTCTTTCAAACTTGGCCGTGTACCACATGCTCAGCACCCGTGTCTGTATCACAGAGGTTCCACGTATTTTTAAGTTGCCAATTTTAAAGAAGTTTGGTTTTGTTTTAGTAAATGTTGGTGTGGTCATTTCTTACTGTGAACCAGGCTAGATGGCTGCAGTAAAGAATTAGTTGTTTGGGGGGGTTTTTGGGTTTGTTTTTTTTTTTTCCCTTCTCCCAGCAGAAAAATTGTAATTCCTTCTGTCGTAATTCCAACCAGCATCATTACACGTGTATTAAACCTCCCAAATCCCTTACCGAGCTACAGCTCCGTGTTGCTGGAAAAGCAGAGGAAGTTTATTTCAGTTAGAAGATAAACTGTTGTTTGTTTGCAGTAGTCATGACTAAAAGTTAGTCCCAGATAACACAGGCAAACGGGAATATCTCTTTACACCCCACACCTCATTTTGTAGTTTATAGGAGCAGGGCTACTAAATTTATAAAAGCACTAGGAATACTACTCAAACCACTGTTAGTAGATTGTGGAGCAAAACTAGTCTATCCTAGAGAACCTTAGCGTGCAGAGGCTTAGAAGTGTTGCTGCTAAATGATACTAAACTATAACCTGTGTGAGTTTGCTTCTCTTGAGTCTGTGTTTGTGCTTCAAAGTTGTTCGGTCTGTGTCGTTACGTTTCACTGTGGTGGATTACAGGAAGGCGGCCGGGCGACGTGTCCTTAGAGCAGCATCTGCACTAAGATTTTTGTTCATAGGTATGATGCGGAAGAGCTGCTTCTTTATAGGATCTAGTCCAAACTTTGAAGATTTTTTTTTTTTAATTTTGCCTCCTGTGTCAGTATTTATTTTATTGTTCCTTTGACATGTGCGTGAGATTGGATGAGATTTGCTGTCCACTAGACTCCACGTTAGTTTGATTATTCCCAAACAGCCTGTTTAGCCTCATTATAGATTGATGAGGCTTAGAAGATGTTTTAGTGTATCTGGGACAGAGGCAGCGTATGTCTCAGAAACATTACTGGAGCAGAAAGAGGTTTAATTTAATTTGATTGAACCGTAAATCCTTATTCCTTTACTCTCCCTGGTCCCTGCCGTCCTCTTTGCACGTTTCCCGAAGCGTAGACGCGCAGGGGCCGATCCTGCCCG